TTTGCTCGAAACATCTTTGATTTCTAGTGATGTTGAAAATATTTTCATACTTTGATTAATCATTAGGGTTTTTTKGGGGGAGGGGTGGGTAGTTGCTGGGGATTGAACCCAGGGCCTTAAAAATGTTAGACAAGCACTCAACCACAGAGCTAGACCTTCAGCCCCTTAAAAAAAATTTTAGCTAAGTCTAGCTAAGTTGTACCTGCTGACCTCAACTTGCTATCCTCCTGCCTCAGCCTCCCAAATAGCTGGGATTACAGGTACATATCACCCACTTAGCCCATTTGTTTGTTTTTTGGAACTGGGGATTGAACCCAGGGGCACTCAACTACTGAGCTACACGCCTGGATCCTTTTTATTTGACACAGGGTCTTTTTTTTTTTTTTTTTTTTTTTTTAATAATATCTTTTTTTTTTTTTTTTAAGAGAGAGAGATGAGAGAGAGGGAGAGAATTTTTTTAATATTTATTTTTTAGTTCTCGGCGGACACAACATCTTTGTTGGTATGTGGTGCTGAGGATCGAACCCGGGCCGCACGCATGCCAGGCGATCACGCTACCACTTGAGCCACATCCCCAGCCCTTGACACAGGGTCTTGCTGAATTTGCAATCCTCCTGCCTCAGTTTCTCCCCAGTCCCTGGGGTTACAGATGAGAACCACTGTGTATGGCTCCACTAGTATTTTTACCCTTGACTATTTTCCTTGAGTGTCATACTTTTCAAAAGATCTTCCTTATTACAAGATTATTAAAATAATTACATTGATTTTTTTCCTAGTATTTACAAGTTTGTTTCTTTCCTTTATTCCTTTAATAAGAATCTTATCCTTTCAGGACTCATTTTGGTGTATAACTTCCAAAAAAATTCTGTAGAGTTAGCCAGTTTCCCCAATAATAGTTACTAAATAATCCATCTGTTTTGGCTTCTGGTAGTCAACTACTCATTACTTCTATTTTTCCAATTTTTTTTTTAGATATTGATGCACACTTATTCTTACAAATGAAAATTTGAATTGTAAAGTTTTCAACAAAATTATTGGGATTTTGATTGGGATTAATTTAGGGGAAACTGACATTTTCATATTATTCAAAGCCATAAAATGTTTCCATTTCTTCAAGGTATATGTTTCATAAATCTTAAAGTTCTTGCTAATACCTTGATTCCTTTAGAGTTTCCTAAAGCTGATTAATGAGTTCTGAAAATATGCATGCCCTTTTAGCTTTTAGCAAATGGGAATTAAATATGTGAAAACATTTACTTATACTAGGTGGTTGTTATAATGTTTGTGCCCCGCCCCCCAAATTCATATGTCGAAACCCTAAACCCCAAAGTAATATTTGAAGATGGGGAGGTAATTAGGATTATTTGTGGTTCTCAAGAAATGACAATAGGAACATCAAAGAGCTTGGTCTCTCTCCATACTCACACAAAGAGGTCATGTGAGCATAGGGTCAAAAGGCCCGAGACCCAAGGGGACAGCCCTCATTAGATACGGACACTCTGGCATCCTGATCTTGGGCTTCCAGTCTCCAGACTGTGAGAAAATAAATTTAGGTTGTTTAATTCTGTCTCCAGTACCATCATGGAAGACTGAGCAGACTGATATAGTGGTGTATTTATTATTTAGTGTGTCTCCAGACTCTGGGTTACCCTAGGTTTCACAAGTTTGTTACAGCCCCCAGACAGGACAATTGAATTAGCTAACGTGGCAACAGAAAGGGCTACTCTGTGATGAGCACTTATTGTATTGCTTCGCAGAAGGATCAAGTCAGGAAAAATTAAGGTTTCTAAGTCATCTTTGTTCCTCATCCAAAATGACGTTTCTGAACTCTCAATTAAACTGAACATTTCTAAAAATGCTGGCTTCCTTATTTCATTTCATATGTCAATAAAACTATCACTAGGGTTTGGGGGAGCATAGCTCAATGGTAGAGTAAGTGCTTAGCATGTGCCAGGACTACAGCACCAAAGAAAGAAAGAAAAAAAGAAAGAAAGAAAACACGGTCATCAATAATTTAGCACCACTGTGTAATATCTGGGCATATTTGGAAGTAGTAGCATAGAAGCATTTTTCTGGTTATTGCTTAGAATTGTAGAATACTTGATTCCTTTAGAGTTTCCTAAATACACTCACATGCAAAATTTTCATTCTCAAAATAAATACAAATGAAGTATTGTGATTCTTATTTTATGGATGATAAAATTAAGATTCAGACAAATGGGTGTCTTTCACAATTAAGTAGAGCTAAAGCTTGATTTATTTCACCGAAAGAAACCTTTTCTGAGATCTCTTGTGCACACTGGGGCCTCCAACCTAGGCCTTTCTGTCTTAAAAGTTGTGGGATCTTCCTTAGCAACTGTTGCAGCTTCCGGGCTGTCTTTTGCCACGCTGTGCTGAGCTCTGGTAGCTCCAGAGATCAGGCCCAACCCTGGAGTGGGAACCTGCACCAGATGTGGTGCTGCCTCTCCTACAGGCAAACCTCTCCACCAGTCCTACAGGGCTGGAGCCCCAGGGTGTCTCTTAACATCTGAAGTGTTGGTTTTAATGCTCCCTCCATTCCCTTCTCTCCCCCCACGCCTCCCAATTAATCTGCCTTGTACACAGCTAAAGGAAGGTTTGAGATTTGAGCTCGGGTCCAGGTGAGAAGGTAAGCAGACAACAGGAAACCCACAAGCTTTGATTTACTCATTGTCCTCCTTTATTCTGAACTAAGCCTTTCACTAGAAGTTCATTAGCCACAGGTAGTGAAATAATGTCCCAAATTCAACAAGAGACTTGTTCTTGATGAAGTAGAATCAAAAACACATTGTTAAATAGTAAAAATATAATGCAAGAACAATGAAAATAATACCACATTTTAAAACCAGGCAAATTGTAAATTGAGTTTTTTTTGGGGGGGGAAAAACATTTAATTCTTACTTTGTACTGACTATGTATAGAGAAGAAAAATTAGGAGTGAGGTATGTAGCAGTGATTACATCCTAGGAAAAGTTAATTTCTAAAATTTTTGTTCCAAAAATTGTTTAAATGTATACATCTTATAAACCACACAGGCGTGAACAACGTTAACAACTTAAAGCTTATCTTTGAATTTAAACCCACAGGCATTTTTTCTTAATCAAATTTTATGTAACTTCTAACTTTACCATCTTCAGATTTATTACATCTCAGAAGTATTTACAATAAGAAATGTATAATATCGTATAGGAAAGAAAGAGTGGGTGCTTTCAGCACTTTGGAAATTGTTATTTATTTAAATAGAACCACACAGAGTGGTATAGAATGACCAAATCAGAATATCTCTCAGTATTTCATTATTATGTGTATTCGGATGAGATCTTTCGAACAGTGCTATTAGCATGAATCTAGTGTATTCTCTGGAATACTTTGTTTTTTAATCTTCTAAATTAAGGGTAAAATAATGGAATTTTCTTTTAAAGAGAACAGGTTAGGAACATTGTGGTATATAGTTAGGGGAGGGAATGTAGGACCGGGTGATGAGGAACTACTGGATTTTAGTTTGGGCTCTGAAATTTTAAACAAATCATTTAATCTTTCCAAGTTTTAAATTCCTCATCTGTAAATATGGAGGTAATTCTTATATTACAGAATATCTGAAATAATCAAATAGCAAAAGGCATCAAGTGGAGAAGGAAAAAAATGATTGAGGGCTCATAATATGTGACATATTATAGTTATGAGTGGGGCTTAAGAACACCTTTAAGTCCACAATTTTACTAAATTAAAATTTTAAAGTAAATCATAAATAAAATCTTTTTAATTTAAACAATTGATATTTCACTCTAAAACATACGAAAACATTTGTCAGTCTTATTAGTAAATCTCAAAAGCAGAGTAAATCAACAGTGAAAAATAAAAATGCTTTCTACAATTTCTTCCAAATGTGTCATCTGTTGGCAGATTAATAATTCATAACAAAAATAATCTGTATGTTTTATCTTTACAAAATACTTTCCAAAGGGACACTAAATTATCTGTAATAAGTAAGCATAGTGTTTAAATTTAATAACAGAAAAAGTCTGATACACTGTTATAATTATTGACTGTTATAAGACTATTTTATAGAGATTAAATAATTTTACACAGTATTTAAAAACATTTGGTAGATAAAACTTCTTCAAACAAAATTTTAATCCAAAATGTTATCCATTAAATTTGAAGGAAAAAAAAAGGACTGATTACATCAAATATGCTGAAAGAATATTTCAGTTTTCCTGACAACAAGATTCAGTAAAATCAAGAAAATAATTCAATATTATAAATTAAAAGCTTGAGCTATTAACATTAGAAAAATATCTAAGCACCACATTTTTTCCTAGTAGTGCATATGTATCTTCTCATTTACTTTTTAAGAGTATTCTTATTAAAATATAAAATCATGAGTTTAATAAATGTTTCAACAAAGATTTTTCTATTAAACACACACACACACACACACACACACACACATTTAAGAAAGACCCATATCTTCTGATTATAGATGACAAAACCTGATATGGTCATTTCATTTGCCCTTATTATAGCTTGAAAATAATAAGATATATTTTTAATCATTTTGGTGTATAGGTATGTCAGAATTTATTTTCAGTAGTTCTACATAATTTCTTTTTAGAAAGGTTAGCTAGATATAAGAAAAATAAATTAAAACTACTGTAATATTTGATTCTTAAAAATCTACTTAGAATACATAYGGCATATGTCTATAAAAATAAATATCTAAGCTATTTTGTATCTTAGACTAGGTAGATAAATTAAAATCTTCTAGAACATGATCTGAATTTTAAAAAAATAGCAATGATGATCCATTGTGTGTGAATTAGAGCTAAAGCATTCTTTTCATGTTTGACATATATAACTCTGAAATATTTTCTACTCCCTAAAACCTTACTGAATATAATTCAGTATTTTTATTCAATTAATCATTATTTACTAGGGAGCTTTGCTATTCACACGTTTTTGCAATTAAACCAAAAATCACTAGGTTTTCATATTTTATCTTTAAATGATATTTCTCCTTTACATACCTTATATATTAAATTACATCAGGAAAAGCTTTTAGTCTTCAGATGTTATATAAAAAATAATTACTTAGGTGGTAAAGGGTTAATAAAATTTTCAAGTTCTGCTAAAGAATTATGAAGTCCATCATTCATGTCTTGACTTCTAAGAAATTTTTTAAGAGTATCTAAAGCGGTTAGTGCTTCATTTCTTGATGGTAAAGGAAGTTCAGTTTCTAAAGATCCACCATCATCTTCTTCATCTGAAGTATAAAATCCAGTTTCATCTGGCTGACTTTCTTCAGTGCATTCTGACTCATCGTTTGGTACTGCTTCACACGTCTCTAAGTCATCATCCAGTGCAGCATACTCCTCTATAGACAAACCTTCAGGAAATTCCACTCCTGCTCCCAGAGCATGGGTGACCAAATCAAGACCAGGGTCTCCCTCTGCATTGGCTGGGTCATTTTCTTCCTTTTGAGATTTGAATCCTGCTTCTTCGTAGCTTTTAATAATAGTCTCTGGGGTTACTGTACTCCAACATAGATGCAACGTATCAACTGCATCTAGTAATGAAAATGTAAATTCCCTACTATCTTCAACAGAGCTTAAAAATTTCTTGATGAGACAATGTCGATATTTGATTTTAAGACTTTTAATAACACCTTGCTTCATAGCTACGAATTTGGAAGATAAACATGATGGAAAGAATGCTAACTCAATGGACTTTAGGTTCTTTACCTCTGGATGTGCAGGGGAAGAATCCACAAAAATCACCACTCTTCGTTGCTGGGCTTGAAATTTCTCATCAAGCTTCTGCATCCATTGTTCAAATATGTCTGAAGTCATCCAGGCCATTCTGTTAGCTTCATAATGTACAGGCAATGATTTTATACCTTTGAAACAATGTGGATTTTTGTTTTTTCCAATGACAAGCAAAGGAAATTTTTCTGAGCCATCCATGTTCGCACCAACCACCAGAGTTATCCTGTCTTTGCACAACTTTCCAACTGAACATGTTTCTCCTTTAAATGCAAATGTATTTGTAGGTAACATTCGATAAAGCAGTCCAGTCTCTTTTATATTAAAAACATTTTTAGGATGATAATCATTTAAATAATAAGGAAGTATATTTTGGTACCACACAGTTGAAGGGTCTACTGATACACCTGAAGCTTCTGCAGGTTGAGCTCTGAATACTAAACCATACCTGGATTTAAAACGATCCAGCCAGCCATTACTGCACTTAAAGTCATTATGTCCCAGTTTCTGGGCAAAATCATTAGCTTTTAGACGCAACATTGGACCATTAACTGGTACATTTAGACACTGAGCAATTCGATACCATCTCATTAATGCCTCTTCTAGGTCTGTATAAAAAGCAGTTCTCAGTCTTTTTCTCTTTGGATCAAATCTCAAAGATTCAAAGGCCTCTAGAACTTTGTCTTTATTCTTCATAATAGAAGACAGTGAATTTTTCTTTATTCCATATTCAGCTGCAATCTCTGCTTTTTTCTTGCCACTTTCCACTGCATTTATGATGTCGATCTTTTCCTCGATGGATAGACTCTTCTTTTTCTTCACCGTTACAGGCAGAGTTGAGGCTTCCACAGGAGCTTCTGCCATCTCAGCCAGTGCGTACACAGAAAGCTCTCCTCTACTTCCTGCTGTCCATTTCTTTCAATTATTGTCTTTCAGTAGTATAAAGATTGCTGTTTTCTACCCCACTTCATATATTAAAACGTGGTAAATGTCTGATAGTCTTGCCCCTTAGGAAACTGGTGACTAAAAATCCCTTTTCAAAAGATCTGAAGAAGAAAAATGTTATGCTCAACTAGAATGTTTTAGAAGAGAAACTTCCTTTGCAAGACCTTGTGTAGCTCAGTTTATAGTTTATTCAGAGTTCCAGAAGTCAAGCTAAAATAGAAATCTCATTATGTCAAACCTGTCCAGTCCTGCTGATATATTTTTGGAACTGCAATCCTTTAAGATGATCCATTTTATCCATGTGCGCATTCAACCTCCTATTAATTCTCCGCAGAAGGCCTCCCAGATAAGAAGAAAAAAATGCTCAAAAATTTTCATGTAAAATGTTGCCCATTAATTTCCAAGTCTCTTCAAGGGTAGCAATGAAAATCCTTCCAGAACTTGCCTGTGTATCTTCTCTCTCTGGAAAATGAGGGTGAAAAAAAAAAAAAAGCAGAAATTTTAGCAATGTCAATTGAATATCAAAAGGAATGTTCGTATAAATTATTATGCTCTTAATAACAATGGAATGAATAGAAAGATGTTTCTGAAATACAATAACCAAAGCTTCCAGGAGAAGTGCTTACCTCCTGAATAGTTTCTCCTTAGAAAGCTCTCTGGCTCTGCTTCGTGCATTTGAATTCTCACTTGCTGTTGAATCCTTTGTAATATATACTTCTGAAAGAAATCAGACAAATTTAATCTGTTTTGAAAATGTGGGCTTACCAAAATTAAAGAACTAAAAATGATTCTGGATAGATCTTTGGTGGCTATTTTTTACATGAGGTCACAGACTGCACTCTCTGACTTCTCTAAAAGAAAAGAACAGTCAGACAGTAGTCACAAGGCTCAACTTTTAATAGCACATGGGAGACAGTGTCCCCTTTATAGGAGTCTGGTAGAAACACTTCACTAAAAAATAAATAAATAAATAAAATTAAGGGATTGATAATTCCATTTTTAAAGATCTATCTAAAAGCTTGCTCTATCTAAAAGCTTAAAAATCCAGTAACTTTTGAATCAATTTGACACATGAGTTGAAAGTATGTAGGCCAGAGATACTGGAGAAAAGGCATAGGAATAAACAAATTATTAAGAGGACATAATGCAGAAAAAGTCCTAGACTAAGAGAAGGAAGTAGTATGACTAGGGGTCTTACTAGCTCTACTTCCTAAGTGTAAAAAAAAGGGATTTCTCATAATATAAGGACATGGGATTTGGCACCAGACAGATGTGAATTGAGAAGTGATTCCACTGTTTAGTACAGAATCCTAGGTCACTGAGTCTCAACTTCCTTGTCAGTCATGTGGCGATGACCACAGGACCTACCTCATAGGGTTGCACTTAATATAGTTTTTGATCTTTAAGGAAGGGCCCAGTACAACAAATGTAGAGTGATGATTTCATCATCATCTTCTTTCTTATGTCTTTTCAGCTGTGTGACGGTTCAGGGATTTTATAAAATCCTACTTGTAAATGGAAGCAAGAATCCCAATTTGAATATACAGCAAAAGCAGGGCACTTCTTAAGCCCAGTTGTCCTGAGAGAATAGTCACAGGGCTCCCGATGGGCTCACTTCTCTCTTCCCAGTCAATAGCTCCCTCACCAGAATCTACCAGCTCTGCGCCTTCTGTGGCCCAGATAACAAGAAGCCAACTCGACGCGGGTATTGTGTTGTGGGAGAGAGTGAGCAGCCCATTCTTCTTGCTTGGGCTTCTGGGTTTCCCAGATGACATGTCTACCTTTTTTTATTTTTGCCAAAGTTCTTCTGCCTTTGTTGTCCAACACAAAGAAGTAATTTTATCATAGGAATTACAACAAAGGAGCTCTTTTATTTTATTTTTTAAATTGCTACAAGGTCTTCAAAATAATGGTAGCCTAGGGTTTTGGATTCCAAATTGCTTCAGTATCTATATTATTCCAGATAATCAATGAGAAAGACAAAACTGGCCATACACACACATACACACATCTATATATATATCTCATATTTATGAAATACTATCATATATATATATGAGATATATAGGGGTGTGTGTGTGTGTGTGTGTGTGTGTGTGTGTGTATCAACATCAGGCCTCCATGGAAATATAGGCCATTATGAATTCTGTAAACACAAATAGCAACCAATCCAACTGACAGGGAGAGCTAACCTTTCTAAGTAAGACTTGACCATTTGGCTAGAAAAGAAAAATCTTGCTTGAGTATAGGTTCTCACGATATATTTTACTGTAAATCTGCAAATATTTCAAAATAAAAACAATGTTTTGCTCCTATTAGGAAGATACCAAAGTTCAGAAACTGATAGCAATAACCAGTATTTTTAAAAAAGACAAAAATTACTAAGAGAAAAAAGGACATCTCCCAACTCCTCTCTCCTTCCCTTCCACCTTATTTTGCCAGAAATAAATCCTATCATCTCAAACAAGAAGGATTACAGAAAAAGTAATCTGAATTTCTTCTTACCCCATCCTGGTTAGAGCAATATAATACAGCTTGACTATCTCTAATCCAAGAATCTGAAATTCAGTGGGTTTATGGATTGGGGATGTTGAACCAATAGAGTCCATGCAAATATTCCAAATTTGAAAAAAATCCAAAATTTGAAATACTTCTGGTCCAAAAAATTTTGGGTAAAGAATACTCAATCTGTATATATAATCAGAGATTATGGGTTATTTTGATCGTATCAAAAAGAATGACATCTTGGGCTGGGGATGTGGCTCATGTGGTAGCGTGCTCGCCTGGCATGCGTGCGGCCCGGGTTGGATCCTCAGCACCACATACAAACAAAGATGTTGTGTCTGCAGAAAACTAAAAAAAAAATAAATATTAAAATTCTCTCTCTCTCTCTCTCTCTCTCTTTCTCTCTCTCTCTCCTCTCTCTTTAAAAAGAAAAAAGAAAGAAAGAAAGAAAGAAAAAAGAATGACATCTTTAGGAAGATATTAGTCCCCCTGGCCAATTAACAGTGTTACTTCCTTCAAAAATAGCAAAGCTGTGGGGATGAGTTTCTGGCTCAGTGGTAGAGCGCTTGCCTAGCGACTGTGAGGCAGTGGGTTTGATCCTCAGCACCAGATAAATAAATAAATAAACAAACAAACAAATAAATAAATAAAGATATTGTGTCCATCTACAAATATTTTAAAAAATAGCAAATACATGGTGAAACACAATATATTCCTAAAACAATCACGTTTCTAATGCCAATCAAGACAAACTAGACTTTTTCCCTAGAAAAGTACTGCCTAATCAACAAAATGGGTATTCTCTGATCTCCCTCAGTAATATATCTCTATATATCTATATATGTAAATGTATATATGTGTATATATATTTATGTATAAATATATGCATATATATTCCTCCCCTAGGGGTTAATGGCAGTGACTAATACTTCTCAGAAGTACACATTCTCTCAAACTCATTAATCATTGTCCCCTTGGGAAAAAAAAAACAGCAGAGAAATGCTGTACTACAAGTTAGGGAATATTTTCTCAATATTAATAAAGATAACCACAGAAGAAGAATAAGCAATTCACCAAAAGACTTAGCAAATGAACTCCAGTAAAGAAAACAATGGCCAACCCTACTAGAAATAGACAAATATAAATCTTCTTTTAAAAAAAGGAGACTCTTTTTGTTTTGGCTTCTCAGAATAGCAGTGGCTGGTGTTTGCTATAGTCTAGTAACTCGTTGTCAGGAGGCACATAAATTGGTATAAGGATTATGAAGGGCAAATTAGTAATATGATTCAAAAACCTTACAAAACATGCATAACTTTTTATTCAGAATATATCTAGGATTTTATCCCTAAAGAAATTATAGCTATAAAAATAATTTCTTACAAATGTATTAAATTTTCTATTGTTATGTAACAAATTACCATACACTTAGTGACTTAAAACAACAACCATTTATTATCTTACACTTCTGTAGGTCAGAAGTCCAGGTGGGCTCAACTAGGTCCTCTATTTAGGGTCTCAAAAAGTAGAAATCATGATGTCAGTCAGCTAGGCTCTGGGAAAGAACCTGCTTCCAAGCTCATCAGGATTGTCTGCAGAATTGATCTGCTTTACTGTAGAACTGAGACCACTGCTTTTTTTGTTGTTGCTGTTGTCGGCTGTTGGAGCACTCTTAGCTCCTAGGACCCTGTCAGTTCCTTGTCCATGGCCCTTTTCATTTCACATAGGAGAACAGTCTTCCTGTCCCATCTTTTGTACACTTTGAATCTGACTTCTCTTGACAAACTTATCTGCTTCTAAAGGGCTCCTGTGATTAGGTTAGGTCCACTCAGATTATCTCCCTTTCTAAGAACTCAGTCAATTGACTAGTAACCTTAATTCCATCTGCAAAATCCCCTTGTGTGTAACATAACATAATCATGGGAGTGTTATCCTATCATGTTTACATAATACAAGATAAGGGTTACTGAAGGTCATCTTAGAGTTTCCCAGATCAAACAAAAACATTCCTCACATTGTTGGTATATAATCATAGACAAAATTGGAAATGACCTAAATGTACAACAGAATATATAATATAAAGAATATCTATCTATATGTTGTCATATGATGAATCTCTAAAGGACAATGATTATTTAATAACTTAAGGAAAATTCCACGATACATTAAGTTAAAAAATCAAAATACACGGCTGGGGTTGTGGCTCAGTGGTAGAGCTCTTGCCTAGCATGTGTGATGCACTGGGTTCGATTATCAGTACCACATATAAATAAACAAATTAATTAAATAAAGGTCTATCACCAACTAAAAAATATTTTAAAAATAAAAAATTCAAAATTATAAAATGCAAAAATAAAATACTTGGGAATCAACTTAACAAGAGAGGTGAAACACTACAATGAAAACTATAGAACACTAAAGAAAGAAATTGAAGAAGACCTTAAAAGATAGAAAGAGCTCCCATGCTCTTGGACAGGCAAAATTAATATTGTCACAATGGCCATACTACCCAATGCACTATACAGATTCAATTAAAATACCAATGTCATTCCTTATAGAAATAGGAAAAGCAATCATGAAATTCATTTGGAAAAATAAGAGACCCAGAATAGCCAAAGCAATCCTCAGCAAGAAGAGTGAAGCAGGAAGCATCACAATATCTGACCTTAAATTGTACTACAAATCTATAGTAACAAAAACAGCATGGTGTTGGCACCAAAATAGACATGTAGACCAATGGTACATAAATACAGTTGTCTAATACTAGACAAAGGTGCCAAAAACATATATTGGAGAAAAGATAGCCTCTTCAACAAATGGTGCTGGGAGAACTGGAAATCCATATGCAACAAAATGAAACTAAACCCCTATCTCTCACCACCACAAAACTCAACTCAAAGTGGATCAAGGACCTAGGAATTAGACCAGAGACCCTGTGCCTAATAGAGGAAAAAGGAGGCCCAAATCTTCATCACACTAAATTAGACCCTGACTTCCTTGAAGAGACTCCTAAAGTGCAAGAAATAAAATCAAGAATTGATAAATAGGATGGATTCAAACTAAAAAGCTTTTCAGCAAAAGAAACAATCAATGAGGTGAAGAGAGAGCCTACATTTGGGGAGCAAATTTTTGCCACACACACACACGTCATATAGAACGCTAATCTCCAGGATATATAAAGAACTCAAAAATTTTAAACAAATTAAAAAAAATCAAACAACTCAATCAATAAATGGGCTAAGGAGCTGAACAGACACTTCTGAGAAGA